GGAGCAGCAGGCTCAGGAGCCGGCCGGGTAAGGCTGAGCAGCCCAGGGCGTGGGTCAGCAGCCCGTGTGCCTGCCAAGGGTTCGGCAGCAGTTCGGGGTCAAGGCAAGACTGCAGACTCTGCTGTGGCAGCAGCAGCAGCAGCAGCAGCAGCAGGAAGGAGGAGTCTAAAGGCAGCGCTGGGCACAGTAGGCGGGGCGTGGCGGGGTGGCCTTGGGCATGCATCGCCTGGCTGAAGGTGTCAGGGGTAGTCTTGGGGCTGTGTGTGCTCAGAGCATCCTACGCCGCCGCCCCCCCCCCCCCCTTCCCCGCTCCGCGAATGCCAGGTGGAATCCCGGGCTGGGAGTCAGGACTCCAGATTCCCTGCAAAGCCCGAGAGCCCGCAGCCCATTCGCCTGGCACTGGGCTTGACCCCGCCCACCAGCGGGTGTCCCACCCCTTCCCCTGCCCCCCCCACTGGTTAGTCCACAGTTGCTCTAGGCCCCGGGGCCCTTCTCCTACAATTAATTTTGTATACTGTTTTAGATATGGATCTAATTTTCCTTTTTCTCAGCTAGCCAATTGTCCCAAGTTCTTTCCTCGGTTATATGAAATGCTATCTCTAGAATATATTTATCTTTGAATTCTTTTGAGTCCCACTGATCCCTTTTTATCTACTTCTATTCCAATTCGGTGTCTTGGTACATTACCACAGCTGTATAGTATATTTTGATGTCTAACAAGCCCTATCCCCATCATTGTTTTCTTTTCCTCTAAAAAAAAAAAAAATTACTCACGTAACATTTTCTATTCCACAAGGATTTTAGAATTAATTTGTCAAGTCCCATAGAAATTTGATTGGGAATGCAACTAAATTTTTAGATTAATTTATGAAGAATTTATTGAGTCTTCCTAAATACAAACATGGCATATTTCTATTTTATCAAGACTTCTTTTCTGTCTCCCAGTAAGCTTTATACTTTTCTTCATGTTCATATTAGAAAATTATGCTTTATAACTAACTGTCCCTGGTGTGTAGAAATAAGTGATAGTTAGATGGAATCCATCAAACTTGCTGAATTTTCTTGAGTTCTAATAGAAAAGTCAAAGATTACCTGAGAAACTACTTAGATTTTTGTATAAATCCCAAATAATATCAGCTGTGTCTCTTTCTGTCTAGTGACTATTACTTATTTTCCATGTCTTATTGCATTATTCTAGAATCTTCATTATAATGTTCAATAGTAGTGATCATAATAGCCATACTTATTCCTGATTTTAGTAAGAATGCTTCTAATATTTCAAAATTAAGTAATATGTGCATTTGAGGTATAAGTTTTTGTATATCCCACGAATAAAAGCAAACGTGTGTGTTTGCGTCGGCGTTAGTCTGATGGAAAGTGTTGGAAAATAATTAATTTTACAGTTTCCTAACCTTCAGTCACATCAATCTAACGAGTCCCCAAGAGCATTTTGTGAAGAGAGCCTGGGTTAACATATCCTACCACTCCTTAATGCCTCAAGTTGTTTTCCCATTAACCCACAAGTAAATAAAAATTATTCCCCTTTGATTAAAATCACCAGAATGGACTTCATATGTGTCATTTCCTTCTAGGTTTTAATTTTGTAACCACTTCAACTCTATGCAGCTTTAAAGCACCCTGATGTCCTCATGGCATGAGCTCCAGGCTCCAATCCCCTAAGAATCCCTCTACCACCACTGTAATGACTTTCAAATTTTTCAAGAAATCTCCTGTGCTATGTCCACATAGGCCTGATGGTTATCTCCTTGACCCCGGAGAACCTCTCCTTTGCCCATTTCCCCATTCTAAGCAGCTAGCTTTGATGTGTATATGACCTGTATTTGCAGAAGTTGTCTATCAGGGTGATTCATTTTGCACCCATATAGTAATCACTGTAGCCTGGCTCTATACTAGAATATTTAGTGAATAACAAAAGCATAGAAGACATTGCCTTCTTTCTCCAATTTTCCTACAATTGCTTGTATTCTAATTGCATAAGAAATGTAAGACCGGTTTCTGAAAGGTAGGAGATTCTTAGAGGAGGGGCATTCTTGAATTAGGTCCTAAAGGGCCTTATAGACATAGGTCAGTATATAAGGTCTAAAATGTGTTTATTTTTTTATTAATTTATCTTCATTAGTGGCAATCTGGATTGGGACACACATTGCCACATGTCTCCCCATATTGAAGCCCTCTCTGTAAATCACTTTCCCATATTCAGACGCATATCCTTATCTCCTTCTCATTCACATTCTGACAGATGCCCAGGCGGCCTAGGGCATCTCCATTCATTATTATAAAAACATTTGTCTTACCTAGAGTATCGCAGTCCCCATCTAAGTGGCTTCCCCATCTTCAATTTCTTATCTCTCCAATCTTTCATATACACAGCTACCATCTCAAGCTTACAGAGAAACTTCAAGGATGTCAATCCACTTCTCAGGATTAATGACTTTCCATTTTCACACTGCATTTAAAATCCTGGGTGACCTTTTCCACCTTTTTACAAAGAGCTGGTTTTCTATAATCCAACCATACATAAGTGTTCAATTAAGTCTTTACCTCTGTTCACACTGTTATATCTACTGGAATATCTTCCTCTCTTTTTATTATCCCATGGCTTAGCTCCAACAACAAAAAATTTTCTGCATTATTTCCATCTCTCATTAATTCTGCCTTTCACTGGGTTTTACAGCGATTTAAAGTATGTGTGCCAATTAAGTTACAGTGCTGTGTTTTATGTGTGTGTAGCCATATTTCTATCCTTCTCACCTAGATTGTGAACTCTGAGGAAGGCACTGTTACCTGTATCATTGCTATATTTTCTCAGGAGTGCTTACAATGCCTATCACACAGGAGGACCTTTGTAAATACCTTCTGGATTGAATTGATCATTTAGATAATAAACTGAGACGATTAGAGGTCTTAAGTTTACCCATGGATTGGGTTAATTTCCATTTATAATATTTTGTCTGCATGGTCCAGAAGACTATGTATAAGCTGGTTTTAGACACTGAGTAAATCACAGTAGGAATTGTCAGCTTTTCTTACAGATATGCCTAGACCTGTCCTTGATTTTTTCTCTTTCCTAGAAAAAACTATAACCTTGTCCTTCCCTCTCCTTATCTTTAGAGAATGCCCCAGCTTCTTTCATTCGTGTTTTAATTTTAATTAAAACAAAACAAAACCCACCTATTCACTTGGAGAATCAGTTACATTTCTTTTCTTTTCAAATTTTAAGAATCCTCCATATGAGTTCCCAGAACAAGATAAACAATGTAAGCCTTCAAGGACCCAGAGAAAGCAGTTTGCACCTATTTAAATGTCATTCTGAGTGTTATTTAGAGATGCTTCACAGAGGGTGGGCACTGCCAGACCATCACAAGGCTTTTACGCTCTTCAATCTAACTGTGCTTCAATCCCAGAGAATCCCACAGCCACAAATTTGTGCTGTGTAATACCAATGAAAGGGAAACAGTTAAAAGGAATTTCTGAGTTCATTTCTTTTCTTCAAGTATTTATGAACAAAAAGTTGGAAAGAAATTCACAGCATAAGTGCATCTAGAAGAAGGCTAAGAGCAGCAGAAAACCAGATGACACATTCTGGAACGGGAGCAATCAAGGTTCTATTCAATCCATTCCCCCTACCCCTCGTGCATCAGAATAGTTTCCCCTTTGAGACTTCTTGCACAGTTGCACAGGTGTATTGAATTCACACTGCTCCACCAAAAAAAAAAAAAAAAAAAAAAAAGGCAAAAAATATGTTCCTCTGTCAACAGCTCTAGAAATTTCAGCAAATTCTTTAAGAGGCAAAGATTAAAAATAATCCACTGAGGATTGTTTCCTACTATCAAGACAATGGCAATGCTTTTCAGCTGTGAAGAGTCTCTTGATCTAACGATAAAGAAAAAAAATGTGTCTACGTCGGTACCATGTACTGGGAAGGTATGTGGCTAGGACAGGAGTCAGAAAACTTTTTGTAAAAGCTGGCAGTAAATATTACAGGCTTGGCAAGGTACCCAATCTCTGTTGCAACTACTCAACTCGGCCTTGTAGCTGGAAAGCAGCCATAGACACTACATAAACAAATCGGCATGCCTGCATCCAATAAAACTTTATTAACAAAAAAGCCTGCAGCCATAGTTTGCCCAGGGTTAGACTCTATGTTCCTTGACTGGAGTGATCATCTCTTTCTTAGTAACCATTGCTAAGGTTGGAGCAGGGTCCAGATTGTGTCTGACACATAGTAGGTGCCAAAGAAATACTTGTAAGTACAAAAAATAATTATTTAACATTTTTAAAACGTATTTTTTGTCTTCAGCTCACCATCTAGATTTTTGTGGAAGACTAAACGAGGAAAATGTAGAGTAAGAACAAAAAGATCATGGACTGTGGGTTCCGCGTTAGTTCTTAATTCAACATCAACTTTTTCTACCAACTTTAATGAGAGTTTATATCTCGACATCTCAGTGACTCAGTTTTCCTAATTATTGAGATAGGATTTAGACTCATTCCAGGTCATTTTTGTGAAGCTCAGCTCATGTCAGAAATCTGAAAGGAGCCCCAAGAAGTTCACAAGGTAAAAGAGATTGCAGTTGGCCAGATGACCAAGCCCCCCGCCCCCCGCGCTTCTATTCACTTTTATCGATCTCTTTATCTGTCACTTCTGTCACTGTGCACATCTCCCATGGCATGGAAGATGAATCAGACCCCATTGCTACCATCAGCAAAGCTCTAGCTGGGCTCCTGAAAGGGGCTACCTAAAGGGGATATAGCAAGAATGGAGGCACATTCTGAAAGTTGTGTTATTTGATGGGGAATTTTCTCTCTAGCCAGCACAGGTCATCTCTGGGGGCACTGTAGCTGGATCTTGATTTGGACAATGTGAGACTAGTATATCAGTTAGAGTCCCAAAATAAAGTAGATGGCACACTCAGGATAATTCAAGGATAGTTAATTTACAAAGAGATTATTTACAAAGATGTGGATGGGGCATAGGAAAAACACAAAGCACGGTGCAACACCCTAAGGTTAATAAGGAAAGAGGGTCATCACCCCTAAACCCAAAGAGATGAGGGAGGAAGAGTTGTGTGAATCCTGAAGGAAAAAGTCATCTAGAACTGGTCACCATGTGAGGAGCAGTGACCTTGCGTTGGGTAACAGAGCTAGATGGAGGCCCTACAGAAAGATGAGAAGGGAAGTAATTCCTTACCGTCACTTCCCTTCCTCTCTTTGATTCCCTTTGGAGGTCCTGATTGGCTGCACTAAACCATCAGACAAAGTGCAAGGGTGCCTGTTGGTGTGGTCCACACAAGTCAGTCTCCAGGGACAGTGAACAGGGTGAAGACAGTGGAGAGCAGATCTGGAGAGACAAACAGAAGATGTCCAGCACAAATGGAGCCCAAAGGCACAGAAAGCTTATTACACTGAGGCCATCCTCTGTGAGGGTTGTTAGGTACATCAGGGTGGCATCAGATTGATTATTCACACACTCCCATTTTTCTTCTGAATGAGATTTTCACTGTCTACAAGGAAATGAATTGAGCAATTTTTTGTTCCCTGCAGTGTAAGGAGAATCTTTTGCCAACCACCGTCATTTAGCAGATGGTAGGTGACACTGTGAGGCCTGCTTGGCACCTTCCAAGGCAATAGCCAGGGAGAGAGCACTGGAGTCAAGAGTCCCAGGTCCCAGCTCTGGCTTTGCTCCTAAGTAACTAAGTGACTGCGGAAAAGTCACTTCTCTTGGGGCTCAGCCTCACTTTCCTAATCTAAAATAAGTGGTTATTGGATCTGATAATCTGTGATCACAGTTCTTAATCTAGAGTCCTCGTGAAAATATTTACAACCATTGAAAATTTTGCATGGTGCATAAGAGCATTTCCTATCAGAATAATAATGGTTCCCTCTTATCAAACACTTACTACCATCTAGGCACTTAGGTACTATGCTTAGCTCGTTCTCTGTCTCTTCTTTCTCTTCCCTCCTCCCTCTAGAAAATCTCATTGAATCCCCACAACAACCTTGAAGCTCATGAGTCTTTTTCTATTTTATCTTTGAGTAACTTGCCCAAGACACATGGTTAGGAAGCAGAAGAACCAGAATTGTCACCACTCTCTTTAACCCCTAAGATCATGGTCCACCTACCCCCATGTTCCCTTGACCCCAGAGTCAGACATGTGTGGTGAAGGATGCCAAATGTGCATTAACTGCTCCTGTAGAAGAGGCCTCAGGCAACATGGGGGCCACTTCCTGGAAAAGGTGTGAGAGTTGGAGTGTTGAGGTCCTCCCTGATGGCCACAGTGTGGGAGAGGTTAAGGAAGGACAGTTGAGGCTGAGTGAGTCGAGTCCTGCTGTGCTGAGTCCTAGGGGTAAAAGAGATGCCTCATAGAGCAAACCCAAAGGCCAAGGGTCTTGGAGCTGAACAGGAGTACTTCCTCTTTCATTGAAGATGGTTTTTCCTATTAACCATCTATAAATCTTGTTGGCCCATCTGATGAAGGAAGTATTGCTCCATTCTATAGTAGCCTCAGAAGGCTCTGGAGAATAAGCTCCTCCATTCTAAAGGGAGAACCCATCATACTTTCCAGAGAGCAGAGGCAACAGAAGGTTGGGGTTCTTGGGGCCCTGTGATCTGGCACATTCAAGCCACTTAAGCCACCAGAGCTTCATGCTGGGATTGCTGCTGGCTACCCTGTCACCATCTGGAGAGCCTTTCAACCAGGCCTTGGCTACCCTTTGAAAGCCAACCTGTTCTGTTGCTTATTCCAAACGGAGCAAGTGCCTAAAGAGCATCTGTGAAGCCAAGATACCCCATCTGTGAAGCTCCTAAGGTACTCTGAGTCCAAGAAGGACTTTTCGGATCCATCCTCTGAGCTCCAAAGTGGGAGAAATCCCTCTAAGCCAACTTGCAGCTTTTTTACGCCTGGTCAGTGCACGTCACCTACCGTGGAACACCAGGGACACAATTCCCCTGAGGAAATCCCATTTCTGGGAGGAAATGATTTGCTGGCCTCTCTGCAAGGGCAATGGGGACTTCAGAACTCTTCAACAGCGCACCTCAAGGTGGGGGACTCTAGTGGGTGCAGGCGGCCAGCCAGCCAGGTTTATTTCCTCTGTGCTGGCACAGCCATAGCAACAGCAAACCTTGGCAGCCCTGCCATTTGACCTGGATCACGAATGCGAAATGCTCTGCACGGCCTGGCGAATCCTCTAGATTCCACTTTGTTCTGCCAGAGGCCTTCTCTGCACACTCCATCAATCCCTGTAATCCCTTCCTTATTGCCTGGCTTCGCGGATGGCTTAACTTGCCTCCGAGCTGCCTGAAGCCTGCAGTCTGCTGCCGCTTCTGGTGCCAGAAACCCCAGTCCAGTACCCAGGGCAGGAGGGACTCTGAAGCTTTCCATCTGAGCACCAGGATGTAAAGGGATACTTGGCCCCACTGTTCTTGACCAGAGAAACATGAAGAATTTTTTGAATAGCCCAACAGTAAGGAATCAGTGGATGCAGAATGTAATCCTGCTCCCGATTTGGCCTTGGAGCCTATGCTGACATGTCAGCAAAAAAGACATGTTTTCCTTTTGCTGGTTTGCTGAATCCCACAACTTCCTACCAATGATAGTGACTTTGAGATACCAGGGAACCTCCTTTAAACTTCGGCGCCTGGCTACTTGAATTATTTTCGTGGATGGCATTTCACAGATAAAGAAACTGAGATACAGGGAGATGAGCCAGATGCCTCACAGTGGCCAAGCTAGAAAGCCAAGGACAAGACTGGACACAGCACTTACTATATGATGAGTGACGTGGACTAGCACTCTATGCACCTTCCCTTCAATCCCCAACTCGCACTTGAGGCGAACATCATCTCCCCTCATTCTTGCCGTCACTGATGAGAACGCGTGGTTCTGGCCTTAAGTTTGCAGTCCGACGTTCTCTCCGACACACCGATTTGTGTTTCTTCCACCTATTTTAAAGACCTGCGTCATTCATATTCCCTTCTTCTGAAAGCTTCCTTCTTATTCAGGAAATGAAATCTATGGATGATTTATCTTGCACTTCACTTCTTCCTGTAAAGGCCAAATTCAACCAAAAAACTCAAGAAATTCAATATTTCTTTGACCATGCACTCTGTGGGAGGCAATAATAAGCACCCAAGAGAAGAGACCCCATCCTCTAGAAATGTATCAAGTAGATGACAATGATCCAGAAATTTCCCTTTTGCAATAACTCTTGCAATTGGGAACCTGGAGCCAGTTTCAAGAATGGTCAATGAAGCATGCTAATAATTATTTTAAGTGAAATAACCCAAATATATATCAGTAGTAGAATGTACATCTAACGTGTGGGAAAGTGATACTACCCAGCAATGACATCTGAGTGAACTATAACTCTAGGTATCAATGAATATAAACCCCAAAATATACCATAGAGTGGAAGAAGTAAGGCACAAAAAAATGCAGGTGATACACATATTTACATGGAATTGAAATGTAAAAAAAAAAAACAAATAGAATAATATTTAGTGTTCATTACATAGGTGGAAAAACTAGAGGGGCACAAGCTACTAGCCAAGATGATGCCTTCCTTTGGCATCAAGGGAAATGGAAAAGGATGTGACTGAGAAGGGACACATAAGATGCTTCTAGGAGAAAATGTTCTGTGTCTTCCCTTGAGAGGTAGGTACCAAATGGTCTGTCTCATTCTTTAAATTGTATACCTGTTTTTGTAGACATTTTTATGTCTGTGTCTGTCTCATTCCCTAGAATGTGAGCTCCATGAAGGCAAGGTTTTACTTGTTTATCGCCAGACCATCAACATCTAGAAGGGTGCATAAAAAGCCAATATTCAATGCCTATTTTTGAGCAAGTGAGTGAATTCGTTACTTAATGAATATTTTCATAACATAACTTTTAGTAAGTTAATGTTTGATATAATAAAACCCATAGACAAGAGCGCTTTTGCAACAAGGTCCACAAATGCTGAGGCCTGAAGAAATGGAGTGAAATGAAGGGAGGGGTGTTCACTGTGACCAGTGTCATCTGGGGAGGATGCAGCCAGACACTGAAGATGAGAAGAGAAGACAGGGGAGGGGAACTCCAAGCCAAATGACCAACACCAGAATTACTACTATTAACTGAATTTTTTACACTGTGCCAAGATCTTATTGGACTTTCACTACAAGTCATTAAGATAAATACCATTATTACGTCCATTTCACAGATGAACTCATGGCTTTCATTGAGCTAGTAAGTGGACTTGTGGTCCAGTATGTCTGACTCTAGTAGATACACAAGCAGAAGAGGGAATATACAGGGAGTCTTCAGTAGGGGCATGGAGACTGGCTTCTGCTGGGCAGGGCTTACCAAGTTCAGCTCTGACTCGGCTCCCAATGAGCTCACTCTCCAACCAGGCCCCACTGCTCTGTGCTGGGAGCCAACTATTTGTGGGGAGCACAGTTCCTCTGCAGTGGAAGTGAGTGAGCAGCAGATGATCAGTAGTGAGTCACCTGCTTCTCATTCCGTGGTGGCAGTGTAAGCACCATTATCTTGACAGAGATCCTCCTCCTGCAAAAGGTGGGTACAGGCAGGGGAATTGGGGTTTTGCAGCTCAGATTTCCATTCGATGCATGAACACCACCTGAGGTCAATGGGATTGCAAACCAAGGCCCAACTTAGACATAACCATCGAAACTTCTGCTTGTCAACGAGAAATCCTCATTTTCCAGGGGAAATTAATATTAATAGTCAACATTACTATCATCAAAAAATGGCAGCACTTATCCAATACCAAGCCCTATGCTAAGTGCTTCATAAGAAGAACGGAATTTTCCTAAGAGTAATGTGAGGTATTTAATACCTCCATCTTACTGATCTGAGATTTTAAATGACTTGACCAAAGTAATACAAACTGTCATCCATGTCTGCAAGACTCAAATCCCTGTTGATGGGCTGCAGAACTTAGGTTCTTAACCACCTCACTCTATTGCCTCTTGGGCAGAGCAATGCAGTAAAACGTTCAGGAAATACCTAGGAAGGTGTCAAGAAAGGGCATGACGGTCTTACCCATCATGCTTAGGACTCGGGAAACAGATCTCGTTGGGCATCCTTGGGGCACTTCACCAAGATCTATCTCTCTCTTTCTCCCCTCCACCTGCCCCCAGACCTCAAGAAACTGTGAGCTTCTCTGAAAGTTCATCAGATTAGCAGGAGGAGCCTTAAAGGCTGTACTTCTCCATGCAAGATTAACAAGGATATGTGTTAAATTCCCTCCTCCCCTCTCCCCCCCCCCCCCAGAGCTCCCTGTGTTTCCCTTTTGTGTCAAGTTAAAATTCAGGCACATTTTCATCTTCATTTCACCTTGAGCTTCTATTGGCAGTGGCTCCTACCGCCTCAGATTTCAGTTTCCCTGTCCTTTCCTTCACACCACCCTAATTCCTGTAAGACTTGAACAGGGACTTAATGCTCTGAAACAGATCTGTAAGGCACCCAGGAGAGTTTGCAGCTTTAAAAAGTTAGAATAAAATTTAGAATCAAATGAAGAAGCAAATCAACACTTTCTGCTTTTATCTTATTTGTAACTTTGGGTTTTCTTAAATCATGACTCCTTCTAAAGCAAGACGGAATTTGAGTTATGAGCAAAATATGATTGGAAAAAGAAATCCTGTAATTAGAGAAATAGGATATTCAAGGTTCATAAGGCAAAAATCCTAGCCCCTCTTCTGACTATATCTTTTAAACCTGAAATGCTAAATTCCATTAAATTGCTTCTAATTTATATATTGGAAACAGAACCCAGACAGACTCAATTATCCAAATTAAGATTCATCTAGTCTCCACCCTGGGCTCAGACCAAATTGGGTCTCCTAGCTCTGCCTCCCTCATGCGCATAGCAATCACACCATTTCTCTGGTGGGTTTCGCAGATGTGGTCGGACAGCACTAGGCATTGCCGGCTGCCCCAACTCAGGAAATTAACTCTGCATGGTTTGTCCTGTGCCCTGTCATTGCTGGAACATGGAACACAGGTGAAAAGAAAACAGACCGGCTTGGCCTCATCCTGTCTCTCTCTCCAGTGCCACAGAGGCCTTTTGGGACGTTTTTGGTATCACATGGCAAGAAAATTGCCAAGAAGAGACCTTCAGAAGTCGCTGGGAGACTTAATACTGTGGTCGGATGGAAAGCTATAAAAATGAAAGAAGAAAATCAAAACAGAAGGTCAGACAGTACAAACAGGGAGTCTCAAGAGGGTGTTAGATGAAGATTTAAAATATTTGAAGATGGATGGTCCAAAAAAAAAAAAGAGGAATAATTTTAAAGAATAGACAAAACTGAAAATATGTACCATGAGCTGCAGGACAAAGAGAATTTTTCTAACACCTAAATGCTTAATAATACTTGGTGTCTGTTTGACAGGTGCAGGATTTTATAATGAAGTTTCCACCTCTCCCCACCTCTCCCTATACAACACTCTCCCATACGTAGATGAAACAAAAAGAGACATAGGTATTTGACCTTGCTAAGATTTATACCTTCCCTTGCCTGTGTCTAGAGTTTCCACTTTAGTCCATTGATTCTCAGACACTTAGCAGTGTAAATCAAGGACAGATGATACTATTACTACTCTTGACTACTACTGCTAATAACAATAGCAGCTAAGATTGAGTGCTTACTGTGTACCAGGCACTGTTCTAAGCACTGGATGAGTATGAGCTCATTAATCCTCATAGCACTTTGCTCACAGGATTAAATTTCCACATTGGATATGAAGAAGCTGGGACATAAACAGTCTACTACCTGCCTATGGTTACACAGCTTGTAAGCGATAGCATGCTGGAGAAGCTGGAGGAGAGATCAGAAGACGGAGACAACTAGGCTCAGTCCACATACCAGCGGCCTGCGGTGGTGAGGGAGGACGGGAGAAAAGCTAAATGAACTGGGAATCAAGAAAAACTTCAGGGACGCCAGAGCAACAGCAGGTAGGAAAGAATTAAGGAGAGAACTGCTTTTCAGAAACATTGTTATAGATGATGAATTGGATCAAATTTAATGCTCTTCAGGGGACGTAAGTAAAAATTTGAGATTCCTATTAGAATATTCTACGTTTTGGACCAGGTTCTCAGATTACAATTCTGCAGAGACTGAAACATTTAAGGACCCTGCTTGTATGATAGTCACACATGTAAAGTGCTTAATGATTTCACATATGTGATCTCACCAGTTAAGCACAATCTCATGAAGATAAAACGTAGGGATGATGTATATTTTTAGGGAGAGAGCAGGGAGGTGTGAGGTGCTTCCAAACAGCTTGGAAGCAAGATGGCTCCTCTGATAATTAAACTATGAAATCAACAGTGGATTCTTTTAAGGGATATTTATGGAGCACCTACTATGTGGCAGGAATTGCTCTATACAATGGGATATGGCACTTAACAAAATAAACATTTCTTGGAGCTTACGTTCTAGTAAGGAGAGAAAGAAAATAAGCAAATAAATAAATATTTACCATAGTGTCAGTTAGGAGCTGACACAATGGTTCTCAGCAAAGACATGAATGGACATCTCCAGCTCTACAAGCTCCTGCTTTCACCTCCAGGATTGAAGGTGTCACCCACCAGGAGGGGAGGGGGTTGGGAAGTTATAGAAGAATGGAAAAGGGAGTGCTACAAGAGCCCAATACCAGCAGAGCCCATAAAACAATCAAATAAATAAAAACAAAAGTAAAAACTGTAGGAGAGACATATTTCAAATCTAGCTCTGCTCCTTTCTAGCTATGTGACTTTAGGCCAGTTATTCACCCTCCCTTACTTTGGTTCCCTCCACTATAATAATACTGCCTGCATCTTAGGATTGGGGTATGCATTTAAAAAGGCAATATCTATAAAATTTCTACCACAGTGAGCCCAGTACCTGTTGTTCACTATTAACAGTATGCAGTATCCCTACTGATAAAGCTGTTGGTTCTAGGAGAATCAGTGAAACTCCTCAAGTTGACTGCAAAGACTAACATGTATCATAAGAATCCAACTTGGTGACAGTGGATCCTTACTGCTGATGACAGTTGGTGGTCCTTACTGTTGGTGACAGTAAGTGGCCCTTACTGTTGATCACAAGCCCCACTTAGACTGAAGTCTGGCACAGAGCCCAGCATAGACAGAAAATGCCCTCCAGAGATACCAGAATCAGGTGGTCGTACATTTCTCTATATTCAAAATTCTTTCTTTTTTTTCTTTCTTTTTTTTTTTTTTGAGAGACAGAATGAGAGAGAGAGCAAGTTGGGGAGGAGCACAGAGAGACAGAGACACAGAATCTGAAGCAGGCTCCAGGTTCTGAGCTGTCAGCACAGAGCCCAACGCAGGGCTCAATCAAACCCACGAACCATGAGATCACGACCCAAGCTGAAGTCAGATGCTTAACTGACTGAGCCACCCAGGCACCCCTTTATATCCAAAATTTTTATTTAATTTTCTTATTAACCAAAAGAGGCATCAGTAGTCATTACCAAGCGCTCATTGGATGCCAGCACTAAACCCATGTTCTAGAGAATATAAGGGCAAAAATTAACAAAAGGTCAAACTCAGTTTTCTGCCTTAACAAACTGCCAACTAACTTCAAGATTTACATGAACTCTTGGATCAAAAATCTCTAAGCAGCACAAAATAAGGGCAAGCCTTGGGGTTCCCCCCAAGTACCACACAGGAGATTAAGAAAGATGTTCCCTTCAGAGAAGGCTGAATCATAGGAGGATGAAGGGGGCACACTTTTGTGGAGTACCTCCTATGTGCCAGCCACCAAAACACACATTCTCGTTACTCCTCACATGCGCTGTTGGGACAGATTCTAAAGCCCATTTTATAGATGAGAACATTAAGCTTCAGAGCAGTTGAATGATTTCTTCAAAGTCATCTAGTTAAACAGAGACTGCCCCAGGATGCAATTCATGTCTGACCTTAAACTCTGTTATTTTCTCTGTTACAAGGAGGCAACATAGGGTAAAGGTCAAGAGTGCAGTGGGCTCTGGGGACATAGCTGGGATTTGAACTCCTCTAACTATGAGGTTTAGGAAAACTATTTTATCTCCTTGTACCTGTTCTCTCAGATACAAACTATTTTTCATGACAAGCTCTCTCATACAATGTTGTTGGGAATTCAATGACATAATCTTTGCTTAGTACATAGGTGGTGCTCTAAGTGTTATTTGTGATATCAAATAAGATGACACCTGTTTATAAGTCCTCTTCCCACTGGGACTTATAATGACAGCTTGTTTGGTTTCTGAATAGAGTTTATTACACAAACACCCAGTTTGCTTATAATAGGGACTGTAACTGAATCAGTGTCACCAGCCAGATTACCAGTTTTTCACAAATGTTTTCTCCACTGCCCCCAGCCCTGGCCTCCTGTGCAGCATGAGGTCCTCACACCCTTGGTTATCCTGATGCTCTTCTCAGGAGAGGACTGGAGAAAGCAGTCAATGTCTATATTATTTCTGAACTAAAAAGTGTTTGAGCCGAGGATTTAGAAAAAAACAGATCTGCTGAGTCAGCAAAGGTTTAGGGTAAAGCAT